GTTACTGCGGGCAGGTCACTTCCTTGCCCTAGTGACTAGGGCCTAGCCTCTGTTTCCCAATCTCTAAAATGAGGGTGATGGACCAGATGATTTCTAAGGGTGACTTTCAGAATTTATGAAGCTCTTACTAGGTGCCATGTACTGAGCTGGGACTACAAAGGCTGAAATAAAAAGTCCCTGCCCTCAAGGAGCTTGCATTCTATCAGGGGAAAACATCACACACATATAAGTCAATACAAAATATATACAAATACAAGGTAATTTGGAGGGCACTTTAGTAGCTGGGGGTATGGCGGGGGGATCTCCCAGTCCATCTAGTCTGGCCTGTACTTGACAAAAGGACCCTAGACCTCTAGGATACTCTGCTCTGAGCATACCACGAGGAGGGAGTCGGCCAGCAGCTGGTTCTTCTGCTTCAAGGCATGCTTGCATGCAGCCATCAGGAGCCGGGCGTCTGCCCTGCCCAGGGTCCAGGGGAGGAATCCAGGAAACAATAATGGATTCCTCCCAGCATTCAGTCACCCTCCCTGTCCCGCACGTGCATCCGCAAGGCCCAACATGCTCTCCTCACCCAGAGAGAGTGATGAGGAGTGAGTCATAGCCCAAAGTCAGGGGGCAAACCACAGGCTTAATGAATAACAAAACAAAAAAAGATATAAAACACCTCCCTGGCCCCATTCCTCAGAGGCATGGCCTGGCTAACCTGCCAGTATCCCCCAAAATGGCGGCTCTTGAGGAACAGTCTGATGATGACTGCTGGGCTGGTGTGCCACCCCAGAAAAGCAGCCACCGCCATCTCTCTGAGAGAGTTTCTGACAAAGTTTGCTAGCTCCTGCCTTGCCCTGGAATTCAAGGCCCTTTTCATAGCTGGATCCTCACTTCTTTTCTGGAACCCTTTTGCTCCTTCCTGTCCCAGATGGGCCCATCCTTTCACTCACCCACAGACCTGCCAAGCTCATCTCTGCTTCAGCTCATGCCTTTGCTCCAAACATTTCCTTCTCCTGGAATACCCTATCACCCCTTTCTAAATCCAACCCGACCATCAAGGTCATGCTCAAGTCCTACCTTCTCCAGGAAGCCTTCCTGGATAGTTCTGGATCTGGCATCTGGATCTGGAAAGATCTCTCCATAGAATTGCAACCAGGAATCAGAATCACAGAATCTGAGAGTGGGATGGACCTCAGAGGCTCTGGAGTCCAACCTGTACCTGAAAAGGAATCCCTCTCTAGAATATGCCCTCCAGAAAAAAGTCAGCACTAGAAGGGGCCTGAGATAGGAATCACAGAATCTTGGAGAATTGGCTCAGATCTGTATCTGACCAAAGATCCACTCTGCCTCATCCCTAACTACTGGCCATCCAGCCTTTGTTTAAAGACCACCAGGATGAAAGAGGAGGATGGCCCCAGACTGTGTAAAAAAGGCTGATTATTTACACACCACATTCAGGTTTGCAAGCACAGGCGCTGTGTTACAGTGAAGAGCAGCCTGGCCTTGGAGGCAGGAAGCCTGAGGCCCAAGTCTGGCCCCTGACCCATGAACATCTGGGTACAACACAAGGCAGTACAGGACATGGAGGCAGACAGGGCTGAAGGAGCTCAGAAGGCAATCCCTGGGAGCTAAAGGGATCGGGGTAGTTTCCTGGAAGAGGGGGGAATCAATTTGGATCTCAAAGCCTAAATCAGGGCTTTGCGCTAATAACTCCAAGGGGGAGAACTCTGACACCACTGGGTTAATTCATCAAAAGGCTGATTTCATTTCAGTAAAAGAAAGAGCTTCCTAATAATCAGAACTGTCCAAAGGGAAATGGGTTACTTTTGAGAGGTGCTGAACTCCCCAGCACTGGAGGGCTTCAACAAAGTCTCTGGAAACCTCTACACTGTGGCCATGCCAGGTGATTTCTAGGATTCCCCCTCTACCCCGTGCAACTTTAAGATTCTACAAATCTTGGCACTGGAAGGGACCCAGAGACCACATGGTCCAAACCATTTAGTCTACAGAAGAAACTACAAAATGAAAGCTGATAAAACGATAAAATGAAAGTTGAAAGCTCAGGATTGATTCTGGTATTAGGGCAGGGAGAGGGCCTGGGCGAACCCAGAGTCCTCCAAACTCCCTGAAGTCAGTAGCTTCTGCCTCTTCTCTCCCCAACACACATCATACTTGTAAAGAAGGCCTCGACTGCTATTCTGGCGCTTCTCATCCACCCTCTGAGGTTGGTGCTAGGGGGAAACAGTCCACAATTCAATGTAATTCAATGCAACAAGCATTTATTAAGCACCTACTATGTGCAAGTAGAGGTGGGAGAGAGAAGGTCATGTTGAAAACAAAGGAGTTGGGGAGGCTCTTGGGTCTGGAGAAAAGGATCTACGATCATTAACCCACCCAGCTAGCTCTGGGGCTGCCAGGCCAGGAAAGGCAGAGTATGGATACTCAAGTTCTGGCCCTGACTATGCCAGGACTAAATCATTGTGTGTGCCTGGGCAAGTCCTTCCTTCCCTTCCCTGGGCCTCAGTGTCCCCACCTATAATGGGGGGGGTGGACGAGAAGATCTTATCAGTCCCTTCCAACTCTAAAGTGCTAGAAACTTGTGAAAAGACAAACATGCAGGAGGCAGCAGGACAGATGTTGGGACAGGAGCCCAGAAATGTGAGTTATAATCCTGGTTCTGCCATTGTCTTTCTGAGACTTACACAAGTCACTGCCTCAGTTTCCCCATCTGTAAAATAAGTGGACTGGCCAAGATAATCACTAAGGTACCTTCCAGTGGTCACAATCTACCTGCCTGGATCCCAGACTCTAGAGCCCATTTCTGGAGCGCTGTCTTAAGACCAGCAAACCCCTCTCCCACACACCATTCCATTCCTTCCTCTCTCCACCAATGGGCTCATGAGAACATCAGAGCCCTTTCCTTCCTTCCTTCCTTTCTGGGTGGGTAGGTGGGGAAGGGCCTGAAAACCCAGGCCTCCAGCCAGGCTGGGGGTATATATGGCCTCTGCTGCCGTCCTCTTCAAACTAGAGGGTGGGAAGCAGTCCAGGCAGGCCCATGGCCCAGGGACAGCAGTCCTCGGGTCCCTGGCCCATGACATGCTCAGGGTTCTTTGTCTTAGAAGAAAAGCAGTGGCTGAACTGGCCAAAGCAACCAGCAGATGCCTCCACACCATCAGCCCTTTCATTTTACAGATAAGGCAACTGAGGCCCCCGTTTAACAGACAAGGGCAAGTTTTTTAAAACTTTCTTACATAAACCCTTCACAGTCTGCTGATTCCAAAGTCTATAGGCCAAACGAGATAAAGGCTTAATGAGGAAACTTCTAGCACGCTGGTAGGGAAAGGTGGTGAAACCAAGGCCTCTCTTGACTGGCAGCATGAGATAATGTTTTCACTGTCAGAAAGACCTGAGTTGGAAGCCTGGCCCCTCTACTTAGGGGCTGTGGGAAATTGGGTAGCTCCTTAAATACACCAGGCCCCAGTTTTCCATCAGTAAAATGAAGGGGCTGGTTCAGATGACCTCTAAGTCCCCTCTGTCATGAGGGGCTAATCCTAACGAACTGGAGAAACGTGAAGTATTCTTTGGAAGCTGAGATGTTATCTGGCTGGGGGAGGCCTGGGTTCGAGCCCCAGCAGAGCCAATTACTCACTCTAGACAAATCCCTGACCTTCTTAGGCTTTCCTCCTCTGAAAAATGAAAACAGCATGTCTTCTGCTGCCCACAACCACTATGAAGGTTGGACAACATCAATGGAAGCACTGAGCTGTAGTTCTAGGCATTGCAATGGGTTACTGCAGCTGTTCTCCAGAGGTGAGCAGGGGAGGGGAGGGAAAAAAGAAAAGAGAAGGAAGGGATGGAAAACTACCCTAACCCTCTGCACACAACACATACAATAACTTTTTGGCCAAGTGAACTTACTGCTGACTAGGAGAAAGGTGGGAGAGAGAGAGAGGAGACTGTGGAGGGAATGGGAGCCTGGAAGGAGTTTGGGGGCACTAGAGGATAAAGAAGGGGTAAGAGAGATGGAGATCGGTAAGAAAGGCAGGGGAGATTGGGAGTAATGAGGGGGAGAGAACCACCAAGAAAGAGGACTGGTGCCTGGGAGAATTAACAGGAGCACAAGGAAGGGGATATGAAGGAGAAAAAGGTACTGGAAAAGGAGAGGGGACATGGAGGGAGTATGGGGAGAGGGGTAGGACGTTGGGAAAGGGGTCAGAGGATGGGGGAAGGAAGGGGGGGGACACTGGGGGAGTGACACAGGCTTGGTTGCCAGGGCTAACCACTCTCCTGAATTCCTGTGACCGGGGAAAGACAGGAAAAAAGAAGCTAGGGGAGGGGACATCAGGGAGGAAGTAACCATTACTGCCCGCAAACTTTCCAGTGTGTCCAAAAATAATAAATAACTCATCCTCACTTTGAAAATTAAACCTGATTAAATTTTTCGTTTAAGTAGGTGAGGGTGGAAGGGGAGGGAGGTTACAGCCACAATAGCTCCATCCTTGCCTGGCATCTCCCCCCAAACTCTCAGACCCTGCTCATACTCTAACAGTCCCAGTTTCCACTCCCCATCCCTCTTCTCCAGAGCTAGGTCTTGGGGATGGTTTCAATACCTCAACAAGTCTGATTTCAGGTCCCAGGCACAGGGACCACAGATGTGTGGGATGGGGGTGGGGAGGATGTCAGAGATTCCTGCTAATCATTGCCTCCTCTTTCCACTGCTCCCACCAGGCTCCCTGGGGGACGAAGACCACAAGATGGCAAGAGGGTGTCTTTCCTCCCACCAAGAAAGGCTAGCCAAGAAGTCAGTCTCGTGGTCCTCTTCTTTCTCCAAACTCTTCGTTCAGCAGACTGAGGAAGGGAGGCCCTTTCCCAAGCCTGGGCCCCCCACCTCCTGTGAAGCCTTGGGAACAAAGGCTAGAGAAGACCCCCCCACCAGGTCCCCCAACCCCTCCTTCCCAAGCCCCTCTCCCCCATCCCCCGCTGGCAGGAGAAGAGGTTGATCCTCCACTCACCCTCAAACACATGCAGCATCCAGGCTCCCAGAGGAGGGTGGAAGACGGGGGAGGTCGGGGAGAGCCCTCACTCACCCCCTGTGCCAGTGACCAATGTTTTCCAGTTGGGCTCCTGGGGGAACACAAGATGGGGGGGCCTGCCCCCCGGGTCCCTGCCACTACTAGGCACCCATGGGTTTCGAGATCTTCTCCACCAGGCTCATCCGCAGGGACTGAGGAGCTAGGACCGGGAAACCTGGGTGAGGTTGTCCCAGACTGTCCGCCAACTCGAGCCCCTGGGCCGGCCCCGATGCAGCTGCAGCGAAGCAGAGCTAGCAGGGAGCGAGCTAGCGAGGGAGCGGAGCTAGGAGCCAGCGAGAGGGCAGCAGGAGGGGAGTGGAGGGGGCTGGCCGGCCCGCCCGGCGGAGCAGAGATGTTTGGGGTTGGGGGAGGGGCCTGGAGAAGGCTGGGCTGGAGGCGGGGGGGGGGTCTCCAGGGGAGGAGGCTGCTGGGTGAAGGGGAGGGAGAGAGGGAGGGAGAGACAGAAGCTGGGGGCACAGGGGGAAGCGGAGTGAGGGCTTCGTCCCCCTCGGGGCTTTGGAGCTTCAGCCCTCTTCCCTCTAGCAACTCCAGGGGCTCAGAGTGGGGAGGGGGCAGGAGAAGGAAGATGGAGTCTAGAGGTGCAAAGAAGAGAGAGAGGTGGGGCCAGGGCTGGGGGAGGTGGAGCTGGAGAGCGGGGTCGCGGGACTTGGGGAGGAGCTGGGGAAAGAAAGGAGGGGGGAAGTTCTGTCCCCTTGGGTGGGGATGAGAGAGGACGGCTAAGGCCGGAAGAGGAGCCCCGGGGAAGGGGGCTGTGGGTGGGAGTCTGGGGGAGGAGCGAGCCGGGAGAGAGGGGGCCACTCTGGGAGGGAAAGGGGGGGGTGTGGACTTCTAGTCCTCTAAAGAAAGCTCCTCCCAAACTTTTTACACAACGGGAGACGCGAGCCCGGGCTGGAAGGGAGAGTCCCGCTAAGCTTCTAACTCCCTCCTCCCTCCCCGGGGGTTGTGGGGGCCTGCTCAGACCCCATCCCGGTCCGCCAGCCATCGGGCCCCAGGGATCTATCTCTCCGTCCTCAGTACAGTGTCTAGTCTAGGTCGCCTGTGTGTTTGGAAGCGATGACTCGCAGAGGAGTAGCACTGAGTACGCAGCCAGAGGAACTGTCTCTGCTCCCCTCTTCTGCTCTGTGGCCTTGGGCAAATCATTTCATTTCTCTGGGCCTCAGTTTCCTTATCTGTCAAATGTTGGGGGTTGGCCTAGGAGAGCTTCTCTAATCCCTTTCAGCTTCAAATCCAACAATCTTATAAATAAAAGTTGCAATCTAGAGTTCTGATGCAACTGATGACTAATGAACCCCATGGGGGAGAAAGTGACAAGAAACGCCGAAAGGGACCCTTTCCTACCCCAGCGAGCGAACTTGGAGAAGCGCAGACTTCGGTAGGGAGGCTAAGCCTGGCTCTGACGCAGATGAGCAGGGTGACCAGGAGCCAACGAATCCACCTGAACTTCGCTCCCCAGCGATAGTACATGGTGTGGGGCTGCTCATCTGACTGGTTATTGTGACGAGCGCACTTTGTAAAGGTCTACAGAAAGCATTAAAGCCCATTGCAGGGATGAGGAATCGAATTCAGGTGAAACGATGCTGAGGAAGGGGCGTGGACACCAATCATCTACCTGCTCAAAGGTGGAAGGTAGCCAGGTCCGACCTGGCCCTAGGGTTCTCCACTCTGGGGGCTCTTGTATCACCGCTGGGAAAACTCCACTGATGCTCCTACCTCAGTAATGACCCTCCCTACTCTGACCTCATCTGTAGATTTGTATCTATCGACTGTAATAAAAAATAATATTTAAGTTCATCAATCTGTATTGGTGCTTTATCTCACGGCTAGAAGGAGAATTCTGAGAGCAGGAACTAGGTCTTAATCTGAACTTTTTATTCCCACCATTAAGAGTATGGTGCTTAGCAAACAGTAGGTGCTTAATAAATAAATGGTTGATGAACTGAATATCAGAGGCAAAGGCCTGAGATGGCCCGAGTAGGCAGGAAGAAAGACAAGTGGACATATTGCCAGGGACCATTCCAGCCTTGCCCTCCCCCCTTCCCAGACCAGATATAACTAGGTCTCCTAGTTCACCCTTCCTGTCACTCCTACTTCCTGATTGCCCATCAGGGTCCCCACACCTCAGGGCCACTGGCACAATGTTCAGAGGGGCCTGGCTTGGGAGACAAGTGTGTTTTTGGAGAGCAGCGGTGTGTGTCCGCAGATGGGGGTGGAGAGAGCGAAGAGTGGGCCGCCTGAGAGCTGGAAGCAAGTATCCAGATTGAAAACAGATGGGAGTGTTCATGCCAGCCTGACATCCGATCCTGTGCGGAGGGAGGAGGGGGGATATGAAGGGAGGGGAGGAGGAGGAGGAGGAGGAGGAGAAGTTCCCAAACCCCAGAGCCTTGGCAACCAATCAAAACGTCAAGGCTACAAAATAGTTTGGTTTGAAAATATCCCTATAGCCAAATGGCTTTCAGTGGGGACAGATCTGCCTTTCCAAATATCTGATGGGATCCACTTGGTGTCCAAGGGAAACCTGCCCAGAAAGGAAGTCGGGGTAGTGGGGTTCACCCTACTGACCAGAGACCCCAGTCTCCAAAGCACTTGACATGCCTCCCCTAAGCAGGCCAGAGCAGGGGATGGACAGACAGACACACAGCCTGATTAGAGTGCCAGAGACACCTACAGCTATTTATATCCCCCCAAACAAACAGCTGAGGAAGTGTGAGCTAAATATAAAAAGGTAACTTTGTAAGAGGCTGGAGGGTTGGTGATGGGGGACAGCTAGTACAACCTAAAGCATATGGCAACTAGGACACCTGTGAGCTCTGGACCCAGGAAGTTCCTTCGTCCCCCTGCCCTCACAGGTCTAGAATTCTTTCCTTTTTGGTCTGGACCTATGATTTTTGTGGGGAACTCAGGTCTGGGATAAAAATAATGATAAGTATTCCTATGCCAATTGGAGGCTTTAAAAAATAGCTTCCTCACAATCTAGTACAAGTCTTTTCCCTATTTTAAAGATGGGGAAACTAAGGCACAGAGTGGTTAACTGGCTCACTCAGAAGAACCCGAGGGAAGAGGTGAAGATACTATTTGAGCTCTGGGCTTCTGGTTCTGAGGCTGGTACTCTTCTGACTACAGCACATCTCCTACTTCTCCTCCTCACTGGACCACTCCTCAGGCACACTCCATACCTCAAAGTGTCCCACTGATCCTGGGCCCTCCTCTTCTCTGCTGTTTCTTTGGCTGATCTCACCAGCCCCCATAGATTCAATGATCATCTCTATGCTGATGTAAATCTATTTCTATAGCCCTAACCTCTCTGCTGGCCTCCAGTCTCCCATCTCCAACTGCCTACTAGACATCTTGAACTGGATGATCTGTAGACATTTTAAAATAAAAAACTGAACTCGTCTTTCCTCTCAAACCCTCCCCTGATCCAACTTTTCTATCACTGCTGAGGGCATCCTCATGCTCCCAGCCACCCAGGCTCATAACCCAGGTGTCATCCGACTCCTCACTCTGCCCCTTCCCCCATATCCAATCTGTGCCAAGACCTATCTTACGTTCATTACATCTCTCACAAAAGCTCCCCTCTCTCCTTCGACACTGCCACCATGCTGGGTCAGGGCCTCATCGACCAATAGCCTGCTGGCTAGTCTCTCTGCCACAAGTTTTCCCCACACTCCCTTCCATTCTCCTCCACTCAGCTATCAAACTGATGTTCCTAAATCGGAGGTCTGACCAGGTCATCATTGCTGCCCCAACCTTCCTACCCCCACCCTAGGTCAAGAAACTCCAAACGTTCCCTATCATCTCCAGGAACAGATACAAACTTTCCTTTGGCATTCACAGCCCTTCATGTTCAGGCCCCTCCCTCCCTTCCCAGTCTTCTTACAAAGCCCATTGGCACCATATACTCTGCAGTCCCGTGACGCTCCATCTCCCAACTCTGGGCATTTTCATTATCTGTCCCCCAAGCCTGGAATGCTCTCCCTCCCAGCTTCCTTCAAGTTCCAGTCAAAATCCCTTTAGGGGATTTAGGAAGCCTTTCCTGGTCCCTTTTAATTCTAGTGCTTTTGGGGCAAAGAGGTGGCATAGCGGATAGAGCACCAGTCCTGGAGGCATGAGGACCTGAGTTCAAATCTGACCTCAGACACTTACTAGCTGTGTGACCCTGGGAACCCCCCCCAAATTATAGTGCTTTCCCTCTGTTGTTTATTTCAATTTATCCCTTGTTTGTATATAGCTGTTTACATATCATCTCCCCTATTTGACTGTGTCTTTTACCTGTCTTTGTATCCTCAGGGCTTAGCACAGAGCCTGGTACAAAGCAGTGCTTAGAAAATGTTGACTGACCAAGTTCCTGCTACACTGTTGACCTACCAGCTCTACCAGAATGCTGAAAGTCCAGTCCAACACCTTTCCAGGAGGAAACGGAGTTTCACAGAAATGAAGGCACTTGCCTAAGTTCAGTATGAGTCATTAATAGAATTGGGATTAGAACCCAGGTCTCTTGGCTCTCAGGCCACATACAGCCTTTCCACTGGAGCCCACGGGGTTTTCGCTCTCAAATACTATGTACTGAGGTTTTTCCTTCTCCCAGCTGACACTCGGTGTTCCAAGGTCCTTCTTTCTCCCAGATCTCATGCTGGGTTCCAAGGCCCCTTCTCTTGTCTCAGACACTCTATGTCTAAGGTCCCTTCTGGCCCTGATTTATGATGTTACAGAACTCAGAGCTCTTACATGCTACCAGAACATTCTGTGTGCTCTAACAATCTGCACTCTGAGACTCGTTTTCCCCCAGGTTTGACATTCTTTATTCTCAGGTCCCCCGATGACATTCCATGTTCTATAGCTTCCTCCAAACCTGATGCTCTAAGAGATTACAAGGCCCAGACCTTCCTGCTCATACACTCTATGTTCTGATACTGTCTGTTCTAAGGCCACCCCAGCTCTGATCTTCTGTGTCCCTCCTTCTACCCGTTTCTTCTCCTGTCAGTTTAGTGAGGGGGATTTGGGATGGGATATAGGTCTGGGAGTAAACATCCCAGGCTCTTTTTTCCCTCCAGTCCTAGGATTGTGTATAGGATAGAAGGACAGAGACAACATAGGAAAAATGGAAGATTGTAGTGAACTGAATTAGGGTCCAAAAGCCCTTGGGGTAAACATCTGGGTAGAAAGGGAAACCACAGCCAGGCTTTCAGAGCGCCTTCTGATAGGCAGCTCTCTCAGCTGGGCCCAGGCCTCCTGGAGGTGGTGGGTCCCCTTCTTACCCCTTGAGGAAATTTTCCAGCAGAGATTGGAAAAACCACTTGCTGGGCGCGTGAAAATGGGGAAAGGCTGGCCTGGATAGTTGCTGAGGGGGGTCCCGTCTAACCCCCAAGTTCTGAGATTGTCTCTTAAGTGCATGTCCTCCAGGAAGCCTTCCTTGACTGCTCCTGCCTCCCCCATTGCTCCCTCCCTCTCACCACTAGCAGCACATCATTTAATACTTAATTATGTACTATTTCATACTAGTCCCTAATTGTTTCCTGTGAATGAGCCAAACTGAGATTTCCCTGAGGGCAGGGGCTGGGTTTGCTCCTCCTTTCTGTCTCCCGTTGGCACTGGGCAGCTCCAGGCTCGGCCCACAGG